TCTCTCTCTCTCTCTCTCTCTCTCTCTCTCTCTCTCTCTCTCTCTCTCTCCCTCCTCTCCCCTCCCCTCCTCTCTCTCTCACTCTCTCTCTCCCCTCCTCCCCTCCTCTCTCTCTCACTCTCCTCCTCCCCCTCCTCTCCCCCTCTCCCCTCCCCCTCTCCTCTCCCCCCTCCTCTCTCTCTCTCACCTATTGCCGTCCATATCTTCCGCACGCTGACTCTCGTTAGGTGACCCCTCGTCATCACAAAGTCTGCCAGCGTGCCAGCAAGGTTCTGCGCGATGTACGCCGATATGTAGGGCAAGGCGGACAGCAACCCGTTCTAGACGACCCGACAAAAAAGAAAAGATAAACGATTTACACGCGATGCATTGACAGCAGCAGAGCAGCAGCAGTAGTAGTAGTATAAGCAGCAACAGCAGCAGCAGCAGCAGCAGTAGTAGTATTAGTAGTAGTAGTAGTAGTAGTAGCAGCTCAGCAGCAGCAGCAGCAGTAGTAGAGCAGTAGCATCAGCAGCTGCAGTAGTAGTGGCAGCAGCAGCAGCAGTAGTAGAGCAGTAGCATCAGCAGCTGCAGTAGTAGTAGCAGCAGCAGCCGCAGTAGTAGTAGCAACACTAGTAGTAGTAGTAGCTAGCAGCAGCAGCTCAGCCAGCAGCCAGCAACAGCGCAGTTAGTATCAACAAAAACAGCAGCAGCAGCAGGAGGAGCAGTAGCAGCAGCAGGTAGCAGCCAGCAGTAGCACGCAGCAGCGACATCAGCCACCAGCAGCAGCCAGCGGCGGCGGCGACAGCAGCAGCAGCCGGAGCAGTAGCAGCAGCATCATCAGCAGCAGCAGCAGCAGCGACAGCAGCAGCAGCAGCGGCAATGTTGTTGCAAGACCCGTCGTGTGGTTCGTTACACGTGCGTGCGTGCATGTGCGTTCGGGCATGTCGGTGTCATGAGGGGAATAACAAACGTTCGAACAATCGGGGACAGGCTTTGCATGCGCCCTCGCGTTAGCGAATACCAGTCTGTGCTCGTGTACGTATGTCGATCGCCCTGGGGTGCACTGTGAGTGTCTGGGACGTCACTAACAGCTATTATAGATCGTCTACACACGATGAGACGACGTCAATTGACGCGTCACTTGAGTTATTCGATATGGGACTCACCGGGTCAATGACTAATAGTTTTTCTGGCAATATATTATCCGGGATTCGAGACCAGGATAGCAAGAAGTGTGTCATGGAATGTATTATTCTCGTCTGTAGAGCCTCCATGATGTCATATAGTCATTAATGATGTATGATGTCATAGTTATTAATGATGTATGATGTCATAGCTATTAATGATGTATGTCATAGTTATTAATGATGTATGATGTCATAGTTATTAATGATGTATGATGTCATAGCTATTACTGATGTATGATGTCATAGTTATTAATGATGTATGATGTCATAGTTATTAATGATGTATGATGTCATAGTTATTAATGATGTATGATGTTATAGCTATTAATGATGTATGATGTTATAGTTATTAATGATGTATGATGTCATAGCTATTAATGATGTATGATGTCATAGTTATTAATGATGTATGATGTCATGGTTATTAATGATGTATGATGTCATGGTTATTAATGATGTATGATGTCACAGCTATTAATGATCCTGATTACAGCATGCCCCAGCAGGAGATATTTCAAGATATATATACATATATATAGTAAATACATAATATAGTATATATAATATATAGTATACATATATATAGTACAAATATTATATATA